GGTCACAATATAGTGAATGTAAGCACCTTCGTACCATGATTTAAGACATTACAACAATATTTTTACAATGGGAACTGTTTATTGTTGGTTTGTTTGTCTGTTGGCAGGATAACTAAAAAGGTTATAAATGAAATCTCATAAAATGTCTAAGGCGGGATTGATACGAACACGTACCCATCAAATGTTGGTACAGATATACTTACGGTTATCATGAAAACGGCAAGTTAATTCGGGATTCATTTTTCGATTATAACTCAAAAAAATATAAGTGGATTATCATAAAGTTTGCAGTAGTTACTAACCATTTTGATCTTGATTCAGATATGGTTTAATATTCAGTGGTAAATAATGTTCTTACAATTTCATTTATACTCTAGAAAAGCGGGTGTAATTACACTCAGTGATCTATGTCGAAATGGGTACCTTAGGTATTCACTGATAATATTATACACTCTATATACATGTATCATCTGGATTACGAGATTTGTGGAGATTTTGAACGCATGTTTTTGCAGTTGATGGTTATATTTACTTTTATGATATTGTTCCCATAGATAGTCCAGTTGTGTAATAAAGTTATGTTATGTAATGTTATTAAAAGCATGGCCGAGCGTTTACAAAGTACGCGTGAGTGTTTTACTTGCCATGACATTTTTTATTGCAAAATTACAGCCCTGTCCGGTTTGTATTTGCTTCGTTTCAGTTGAAAGGCGAGTGCGGTGAATGGTCTGACCGTTTATTGACCTATAGATATGCGTACGTTGAACTCATTGACTGAATAAAACAGAAATTCCTGGAAAAGTTGAGTTTGCATCTGTAAACTACCGAAACCGCAAGATACAACATGTACAAAAATCTATTTATTTTGCATGAGGGGCGAGATCTGAAATCTAGACCCTCTGAAACGCTATTTACTGCATTTTGATGGGCAAATTCTGCTGACACAAAGGGTTTCAGCTGGATTGGAGGAGGGGGACGACCGCCCCCCCTCTGCCCCCGTTGCGGATGAATATAATGAAGTTAAAGGGTTTTTAATTGATTAGAAGTATTGTTCTTCATAACTATGTTATGTCATGTCTGCCCCCAGTTGCGGATGAATATAATGAAGTTAAATAGTTTTTAATTTATTAGAAGTATTGTGCTTCACAACTATGTCATGTGACCGCCAAATAAACGCATGTTGTTAGTATTGCATGTGGGGGCAGTGCCGGATTGCGATGTCACTTGATGCAAGAAAGTAGTTCCCGCTCATGAATATTTTATTATTGGCATAGTATATAAGGTTAGTTGAACACCATTACGCACAGCACATCATCATTGTAGGACCATTGAGCACATCAGAGCATGTACAAGTAAGTGATTATAATGAGTTTCTAATATAAGTTATTTTTATTCG